GAAGCTTCTTGCCACAGTCAATCACCCCTGAATACTGTCCAGTTTGACCTACAGCCAGTCTGGTCTTTAGAACCTAAATGTGAAAGAATACAGCAAAAATTGATCAGATTGTCCTAACTCATCTAGCAATCTGTGAGCTGGTACTTCACAATGTCTACAAATGATCATCAAAAAGAAATCTTAAACTTACTTTTGACTTCTTAATAACTGAATATTATGACCATCAGACAGTATAAAACGTTATCCACACAGGAAAATAGAATGAATCCCTGTAGCTTTGAATGCACTGCTTCAATGTGTTGTGAGACAAGTTATAAAACAAAGCCATTTGCGATAATATTACTTCTAAATAAAGTAACTATGGCCAAAATTCAAGATAAAAAATACATGTATGTAAAAATTATTTGATGTATGTTTAAAACATACTTTCTCTTACAACTGTAATAAGTAACAGTGAACCTATAAATTTATGTACTATGATTTGGGCATTTTGTGCTCATAAAACTGTGACATGACAGGAACTATAAGGACAGTCCAAACCAAACTCACTGCCATCGAGTCAATTTGACTCATAGTGATCCCACAGGGCAGGGTAGAACTGTGGGCTCCAATCATCTGTATATGATCAATATTCTTATGCCACTGTAATTCTCCTGATAGACAATGTAGGGGACTTTAAGGTCACAGTGATTAAGAACAAATTTTAGATTCTCTTCTGATAACCACTTTGATGTGTCTTTTGTCCTTTATTATTATTATTATTAAAGGATCATTTTATTTGGAGCTCTTACAACTTTTATAACAATCCATACATCAATTGTATCAAGCCTATTTGTACATATGTTGCCATCATTATTTTCTAAACATTTACTTTCTATTTGAACCCTTGGTATCAGCTCCTTCTTTTACCCCCCCTCCTCCCCTCCCACTCTGGTGACCCCTTGATAAAGTATAAATTATTATTATTTTCATATCTTACACCTACTGCTATCTTCCTTCCCCCAGTTTCTGTTGTTCATCACCCTAGAGGTCTGGGGTGGTTATGTGTGCATCACTGCGATTGGTTCCCATTTTCTCCCTTCCTCTCTCCACCTTCCCCCTACCCTGCTGGCATCGCTACTCCCATTCCTGTTCCTGGATTCCATGTGTTGTGAAATCTTATCTCCTCTCTGTACCTGTATACATGCTCCAGTCTAGCCTGCAGTAAAAGGGGGACTGGGGCCATGATAGTGAGGGGTGAGGAAGCCTCAAGGAACCAGAGGAATATTGTGTGTTTCATTGGTGCCACTTTGCACCTTGTTTGACTCATCCCTTCCTTGTGACCCTTCTGTGAGGGGATGTCCCATTGTCTACAGATTGATTTGGGGTCTCTGCTCTGAGCCCCTTGTTCTCAACAGTATGGTTTTCTATTTGTTTGTTGTCCTCTGATTCCTGTTACCTGATCCTGTGAAAACCTCACAATCCCATATGCTGGTGTGCTTCTTCCATGTAGGCTTGCTGCTTCTCTCCTAGATGGCTGCTTGTTTATCTTCAAGCTCTTAAGACCCCAGACGCCTTATCTTTGAATAGCTGGGCACCATCACCTTTCTTCACCACACTTGCTTATGCACCCATTTTGTCTTCAGAGATTGTGCCGGGAGGGTGAGCATCATGGAATGCCAGGTTGTTAAAGTGTTTTTGCGTTGAGGCAGGGCTTAAGCAGATGCCCAAGTCCGTCCACTACCTCAGTGTATAGCCATATAAATATATGTACAGAGGCCAATACCTCTATTTTTTAAATTATTTTGTTCGGGACTCATACAATTGTTATCACAATCCATACATGCATCCATTGTGTCAAGCACTTATGTACATTTGTTGCCCTCATCATTCTCAAAATATTTGCCTTCCACTTTAGCCCTTAATATCAGTTGCTCATTTTCCCCCTCCCTCCCCACTCGCCCACTCCCTCATGAACCATTCATAATTCATAACTTATTACAGTTTTGTCATAAGTTACACTGTCTGACGTCTCTCCCCACCCCTTCTCTGCTGCCCCTCCCACAGAGAGGAGGCAATACTTAGATTCTTATAATCGGTTCCCCCTTTCTACCCCACATTCCCTTCACCCTCCAGGACTCGCCCCTCTCACCACTGGTCCTGAAGGAGTCATCTATACTGGATTCCCTGTGTTTCCAGTTGCTATCTGTACAATGTACATCCTCTGGTCTAGCCAGA